CTGTTGAATAGATTGTTTTATTGTAACAGACCATACAGGTGACTGACTTTACAGAGTCTGACTGGATAAACATGTAATTTATGCTGTCTTTTGCCCTGTTTATTTTCCCCAGAGCGGTATTTTGATGTTTCCCTTAGGTTTTAGCCTAATTTCTTGGACCCCAGGAGTAAAGGAACAGGGAGAAAGCAGTAGGATAAAATTTTTTCCCTGTTATCAAAAAATAGTCTTTTTAAATAAGGTTTTAACTCACAGATGAGAAGGCTTTAATCAGAGATACTGAGGACTCTTAAATTAATGCAGTTTTGCGGGATTAATCATACTCTCTTAAGATGCATGTCTGCAGGATTTTCACTGTTGGATATATTTTATAAAGTGAACTCAGATAAGGAGCATAACATTTCTTTACCTGTGGTCACAGAGATGGCACTGGTATCAGTTTCAGTTTTTAATTAAAGACCACAAATGACAAATCTTTGAACCACAGCATGAATCAGAAAGTCGGCTAGTCAACCTTTTTTTTTGAGGGGGTATTCTTTTTGAAGGTGGGGGTTGCAGGCAGGGAAGGGAAAGCAGGAGAGAGAATTGGCAGAGAAATGTAGTGGGAGGCAGTAGATTGTGGGTGGTGAAACTGGGCTGGAAGTGATGGCTCTAGACCACTTCACCTCACCCCAGAGCCCTGAGTAAAAATAAATCCCTTTTCTAGCGCTTGATCTTCTCTCCTCTCCCTTCCCTACCTTTCAGTGGTCTTAAGCATGAGCAGGGACAAGCAGCACAAACACGACTGAGGTTTTCTTACAGGCACAGAGATAGTCCTAAGGTAGAGATAGTCCTTTATCAGGTGCCACCCAGGAAAACAAAGTGTGACATCACACTCTAATATAACCTTTGGCCGTCTTCTGACAGGGATGGCAGAGGGTGGGCATAGAGGGGAGCAGATGGAAGTACTTTTGGAATTTTCCCGTGGGCACAAGGGGTTTGTTCCTTAATTAGAGGTAGTCTGGTAAATGCTTACACTGGTGCAAATGCCCCGGGAGAATTTGAACACCTTTGTTCTGGGCTTACTGTGATATTACAGTCCCCCTGCTTAGGGGGCAGACCAGCTGGCGGCAGGAAAGCTGGCTGAGAGCTCACTTGGCCTGAGCTCTAGATTACTACTTGATTCTGTTTAGAATTTGGGACCTGAATTTTGAGGTCCTTTGAGAAGGTAATGCTAGTGTTGATTTCTGGCCCTGCTTGTGCTTCTGGAAGTAACAACTGTAAAATTATATTGGAATTTGCTTTTTAGAAAAAGCCAGGTGGTAATCAGAATGTGTGGGTGGTTTGAAGTTTGGTTTTTTTGTTTTGTTGTTTAAAGAATTATTTTGAGAGAGAGAGTGTGTATGTGAGTGGCGGGAGGGGGCAGAGGGAGAGGGAGAGAATCTTCAAGCAGACTCCCCGCTAAGCACTGAGCCCGACATGGGGCTGGATCCCAGGATCCTGAGATCATGACCTGAGGCCGAAATCAAGAGTTGGATGCTTAACCTACCAAGCCACCCAGGTGCCCCTGGTTTGAAGTTTTTAAACAAAAGGCCTGTGCTCCGCTACCAGGCTTCCAGAAGAGTAGTTTATATTGTGCATACTTGCTTCTAGAATGGGTTCTGGAAGGAAGTTGCTTCCTTCCTGTTTCATCACAACCCTTGTGACCTTGCCATATTCCCTGCCTTCCCTGCCCTAGCAGAATCTGATTCTTAACTTCGGTTGAAACTGGTCAAGGGGCTTGAAGTCTTCCTTAAGTACAGAGGGCAGTCTTTTGGAAAGGATGACAGATAGATCCCTGAACCATACCACCCTGTACACTCCTGATCTCGTCTGATCTCGGAAGCTAAGCATGTTCAGGCCTGGTTAGTACTTGGATGGGAGATCCCTGAACTTTTTTTTTTTTTTTTTAAGATTTTATTTATTTATTTGAGAGAGAGAGAATGAGAGACAGAGAGCACGAGAGGGAAGAGGGCAGAGGGAGAAGCACACTCCCTGCTGAGCAACTCCGGCTCCATCCAGGACCCTGGGATCATGACGTGAGGCAAAGGCAGATACTTAACCTACTGAGCCACCCAGGCACCCTGATCAATCTATAATCTTAACTGTTATTTTATATTGTATTCTCCTGCTTGGGTCTTAGAATTCTTTTTTTTTTTTATAAAGATTTTATTTATTTATTTGAGAGAGAGAATGAGATAGAGCATGAGAAGAGGGAGGGTCAGAGGGAGAAGCAGACTCCCTGCCGAGCAGGGAGCCCGATGCGGGATCGGGACTCCAGGATCATGACCTGAGCCGAAGGCTGTCGCTTAACCAACTGAGCCACCCAGGCGCCGAGATCCCTGAACTCTTAAAGAAAGGGTCACAAATTGGTGGCTGCACTCTTAGCAGCCTGGATGATGAGTTTTCTAAACTTGCTGGGTGGTCTTTGTTGGGGACATGATCACGGAGGGCCCCAAGCTCTGGTATCTTTCTTCCTCATTCACCCCCTCCTGTCCAAACTAAAAATGGACTTTTTGGAGTCTTTATTTTATTTTATTTTTTTTTTAAGTAAACTCTACACCCAGCATGGAGCCTGAACTCAACTCCGAGAACAAGAGCTTCATGCTCCACTGGCTGAACCAGCCAGGCGCCCTGACTTTCTGGAGTCTTTACAGAATTCACCTATTATTTTTGCTCCTACGTTCGCTATTAATAAATCCATTACTGTGTCTTTGTCACAGTTTAGCTGGTTTAATTGTCTCCTCTTCTTCCTGTTGAAATCCAGAGTTGTGGTTTTGAGGGGCAGTATGTTATGGTCAACTTGTTGGATCCACAGTCCCCCACCCTCATCTCCTTCTGGTTGTAGGCAACAAGATTTAATAAGTATGTCAGAGATTGCAGTGATCGTGCATAGATTGGTTCCTTCCAGAAAGTACAGGGGAAGAGTGTATCTGCCAGACAGCTTAGTGAATGTGTTCTCTGAGCCTCCATCATCGCAGCATCTCTGCTATCCGGATGAAATACAAAGCAAAATGTACTTGGCTCGTTGGAGGGTCTGCAAGGAGACCACTGTGGCTGAAAGTCGAATCAGCAAGAGGAGCAGTGGGGTTAGAAGATGAGGTCAGAGAAGTAGTAGTAACAGATCGTGGTAGGCCTTGTGGACCTGTTAGGATTTTGTGTTCGAAGTGAGATGGGGAATCATTGGATATTTTTGAGTTGATATGATTTCTAATTAAAAAAGTAAATTACTCTGGCTGCTGTGTGGAGAATAGACTGCTTGATAGGGGCAAGGGTGGAACAGAGAAACCATTTAGAAGGCTATTGTAGTAATCCAGGCTAGAGATGATTAGATGACAAGTGAAATTATTACCTGTGTCCAGGAAAGGTTGGGAGACCTAATTAAGAAAACCTCACTAATGCCCCTCATACAGCCCATTTCACAGTATTAGCTCCAGTATTCGCTAATTCCCTTCCTTTCCTTGGATTTTGCCTTCTCCTATATAGGACCATAGGGGAGAGGTTATTAAATAAAGAACAGCCTTCACAAGGGAAGGAATTGTAAGCAGTACCTCAGTCATTTGACCCCAACAGAAGCCTTTTTATTTCTTGAGGCGCTGCAGTTGGCGTCCTGTGTACATTCTGTTATCCCGCCCACCGGAGACCTGAAAAGGCAGGGTCTGTGCTAGAACTCTGGGCAGCTCAATTCTCATTGAGGCATTCAGTCTTCAGTTCTTTCTGCAGTTGGTATCTTAGACACAGTTTAAGCAGCCTCTTTTTACAAAGTATCTTTTCAGCTACCTGGCCTTGCAAGCTGGAGCTCTCTGATACTCATCGGGACAAGGTAGTTTCACATACCTGAGAGGGCTCCCAAAGAGAAAGAGGATTTGTGGTCTTTGTTTTACACTTGAGCTCTTTCCCCACTCCTCTTTTGTTGGGATTAAAGCCTTAACGTGCCACCTGGATTTCTGGGTTTTGCAGTATGGAAAAGGAATTCCATGTATTTTAGTACATTATACTTGTTTGAGAAGAGCTTGGTCCTTGGTACACGGGAGCTTATTCCCTACAGAGGCCACATCAGGTCTGCTTTCTTGGGTAGGTCTTGTTGGTAGACGTTACTGAGGAAACCATGCTGTCTTGACATAATGTCAGGATTACTTGCCTAGAGAGGGCTGCTGGCAGCCTACAACCTCCTTGATTTATTCTGGGAACAATGCAGTTTTTTTCCTGGTGGCCAGGGGGTCTAATTGTGTGACAGGCAGTAGGAAAGGTAAATCCCCAGAAACTTAAGACTTTGCTTTAACAGTAGTTAATTGTGTCTCCTAGGATGCTTTGCCCCTTCTTCTAAAAGTGAGCTCAGATTACTGCCATTTCAAGTTGGACTTTGGGTGCCTTTGCAGCTCATATACTATACTGCTTCTGGAAATGTCTGACTGCTCCCGCCCCAGTCAGGTCTGTAAATAGACTGAGCCAGGACCTATGAAGGCCAGCTGTCTTCAGAAACCCTGTTCTATTTTCAGGGAGAAATAATTTTTCCCTTCACTTCAGTTAGAATCTGCCCTAGCCTTTCTGTTCCTGCCTTCGCTGGGGCACGGATGAGAGCTAGCATGCCATGTATCTAGCAATCCCGTGGGCCTGCCCAAAAGTAGTAGGGAGAGGCCATCTACAGGAAATGCACATGCTGAAAGTGCATCCACAGCTGGTGAACATAAGACTTTACAGATGCACCTTATTTTCCAGTTATTTGTGTGGATAGGTATTTCCGGTTTTTATTTCTCCCCACCCATGTATCTGTGCTGACTGAAACATCATTTTAGCTATAGTAATAGTTGGGAGCAAATTGTTGCTGCAGATAGAGACATTGATGTATTTTCAACCAGCATGCTGCTAATTAAATTGCTTAGCTATCTAAATGTGGGCCTCTGCTGCTCATATCCAATGTCCCTGGTATCTTCCTTGAGTGAGTTGCCTTGTATTCTCTGACCTTGTTTTTTCGTTCATTGCAGTGTGAGTGACTGCCCCATGTTGTGTTGATGCCAGTCTGCCATGCTCGCCTGTCTGCCAGGGCCAGGTGACCTGTCCTTTCAGCTTCTTTCTCACACGCAGATGAACACTGGACTTCAGAAATGTAAGTAATCTGGATCCCAGGGAAGGATGTGATACTTATTTTGTCCCTACATGTGGGTAATCACAGAGGCACATCAGGGGTATGTTGACCGTGAACTTTGGTACCTCCAAGATATTCTTCAGCACAGACAGCAGGAAAGCAGCTGACAGACTTGTCAGCAATGTGGACACTTTTCTGATCAGAGAGATCCTCTTAAATACTAGAATTCCTCATTGTATAACATCTGAATTATCACTGTTGCTGATAGCTATCTGTTGAGCAACAAAGCTATAAGGAGTTTTACACAATATGTATGTAACCCTTCAAAAAGGTATTTCAGTTTGAACCCCCATGAGGAATTGAATGAAAACTCACACTCTTGATTACTTACTATATCTCTGAAACAAACTATTTGCCCTTTTTTGTTGTTTTGGACTCTCTGAGCATTCTCTACCATGGAAACCGTTCCCTTTGGCTTTGCTGTCTGCTGAACCAGTGACCTCAGTTCATAAGTAAAGATGCTTTCACCTCCGGAAGGGATAGGGAGCTTTCTCAGTCTCTGGGTATATTCCTGCTAATAAACTTGCTCACAAGATTGAACTTTTGAGAACTATTAGATTCCTGTCTTTTTTTCTTTTTCTTTCTTTCTTTTTTTTTTTTTTTAAAGTAAACTCTATGCCCCACATGGAGCTTGAACTCACGACCCCGAGATCAAGAGTCACATGCTCTACTGACTGAGCCAGCCAGGAGCCCCAGATTCCTGGCTTCTATCCCTGCACTACAATGATGTGCAAGGAAAAGATTCTTTTCCTAGCTCTTTACCGTGTCCAGTGTCTTCAAGTATAAATACTGCCCTAAATTTGGGATAGACCTTCCTTTCAGAGCAAAAGGGGAAATCACTGAGTCTTCTAGGCTTACCCCCCCTTTTTTTTTTTTTTTTAAAGATTTTATTTATTTATTTGACAGAAAGACAGGGTGAGAGGGAACACAAGCAGGGGGAGAGGCAGAGGGAGAAGCAGGCTTCCCGCTGAGCATGGAGCCCAATGCGGGGCTCGATCCCAGGACCCTGGCATCCTGACCTGAGCCGAAGGCAGCCGCTTAACCGACTGAGCCACCCAGGCGCCCTGGTGCTTCAGCACCTCTATGACAGGCTGGTAAACTTTTTCTGTAAAGGGCTAGATAACAAATATTTTAGGTTTTGTGGGCCATATGGTTCCTGTTGGATCTACTCTGAGCTGCTGTTGTAGGGCAAAGTCAGCTGTAGATTACATGTAAATGAATGAGTGTGGCTGTGTTCTGATAAAACTTTTTACAAAAACACAGCAGCTCTCCTTTGGCCCACAGGCTTTTGTTTGCTGACCCCTGCTATCTTCAGAAGTTAAAAATGGTCTAGTCTCTTGACTTCCTTTCTTTGAAGGAGAGTAAGACTCAAAGCCTGGCTAGTTCTGAAATTTGGCCAGTGAATCCAACTCATGTAATGACAAAAGCTGAAAGTAACAGTCTTCCTTCTGCAGCTGCCTGACCCAGTAGGCAAGCTATGCTATGCTGTACCAGCTTTCCCCCCAGTCTTTCTCTTAATAAATGATAATTGGGTGATAAAGTTTTATGTGCTCCCTGGCCACTGAAATCTGCATGCTAACTGCATTTTGAGTGGTTCTGGGGTTCCAGGGACACAACTGGAGAAGGAGGTATACTTGGAAGCATGACAGAGGAGCTCACTGACTTTCTTCTATGTTCCTTCATGTACTCAAACAGCTTTACCCAGAGATGGGATATCAAGGATGAGTCATTTGGGAGGAAAAGCAAATTGGCAGCTTTATCTTGGGTACTGACTTTGGATCTCCACTCCCTTTGTGCCCAAGCAGCCTCAAAGTAGCCTCTGCCAACCACTGTCTTCAAATTTTATTCAAGAATTGAGATAACCTTCTTCCCTGGTTTCAAGCTTGTCTCTTTGTTTGGGGGGATAGTGTATTGGAATCCCTTTGTCTCACTTGTTGCTATCTTTAACTATACCCAAGCCTTTGCAGAGAAGAAAACCTGATGGTGTTTTAAGCTTACTTGGTTTCTTCTCACCTCTCCCAAAATGTATAAGAAAAAAAATTCTGCCCTGTCACTTACAGCTGTTAGCATTGAACATTGAAGGTGAGATGGAGCATAAACTCTCTCCTTTGGGACCTAGCAGCAAGGCCCTGCTCAGAGGCCAGGCCTCTCAGCTATAGAGACCTTAAAACCAGTTTTGTGACTCTGCTTTTCAGCCTTTTTCTGCCCCTCATCCTCAGGAGGGTTTTTTTTTTAAGATTTCATTTATTTATTTGACAGAGAGAGACACAGCGAGAGAGGGAACACAAGCAGGGGGAGTGGGAGAGGGAGAAGCAGGCTTCCCGTGGAGCAGGGAGCCTGATGTGGGGCTCGATCCCAGGACCCTGGGATCATGACCTGAGCCGAAGGCAGCCGCTTAACCGATTGAGCCACCCAGGCCCCTCCCCCCGCTCAGGAGGGTCTTATGAGTTGTTAGAAAGACAGAGCTTGATGTCTGGCGGGGCAGGGATGGGGTACAGATATTTATAGATTATTGTGCTTTGTATTGTAAGAGCTCAAGGCGGGAGAGATGTATCAGGGGTCCGCAGTGCTTGGCCAGCACTCTAAGTCACCTGGCTAATCGTTTTCCCCGGCTTAACCCACTACAGGTACAGAATCACAGGATTGAGCCCTTCTGACTCCAGCATTTCCTCATCTCCCCTTCCTTTTCTTCGTCTGTAGGAGGATGTAATGCATTTCCCATCCTAGATGTGGCATTTGCCGTGGGGCAGTCTGGATTAAGGAACACTTGGGCTTTGGTGGGTCCTGCACTCAATAGAGGACCACAGTTTGGGTTAGGTGGATACCCTCCTAGAGCTTTTCTAGATTGTATATTCCATGATGTCACTTGCTTTGAGAATTCTCAGCTGTTTTGAAACTTTACTTGGCAAAACTTCCTCTGACCCGTCTTTTCACAATTCCCCAGAAAATGTGTTTTTGAACATTTTTTTCTTCATTAACCCCAAGCCTCTGCTCTTACTTCCCCAGCTCACCACCAGGTATATCGTAGTGGCTCAGTAAGTATTTCTAGGTGAGTAGCTGAAATGACCAAAGGCCCTTGGTCCTCAAATCATCTTTTAGACAACAATTTTGACCTCCTTCATTATAGACTATCAGGGACTGAGACAAACGTCAAAATTACCCAGTTTTACTACTCCTTTCTTTGCCTATCTGCCCCCTAGTGGAAGGGCCTGGAAATGGTGAATTGGCCCAGTAACGGGATAAGCCCATAGAAATCTTAGAAATACTAGTTAATATTTGTTGATTGCTTACTATGTGCCAGGCCCTCTTTTGAGTATATTTATGTATGTTCTCATTCGTTCCTCAATAATCTCATACGAGAAACTCTTATCTTTCTTTTGAGGAGGAGACGTAGAGTAGCACCTCCAGCGTCCTATTATGTTCAGTGACTCGGCCGGAACTCACTCTTGGGTCAGACTCCGAAGCCAGTATTTGAGACACTGCCTGCGCCTCTCCACCTGTGATAGTTTCCTGCTGCAGATGGTCCTTGTGTCTTCTGACCTTCAAAATGGAAGGACAAACAGGGAGGCCCCTGAAGGGGAGCTGGGATTCAGGGAGATACCCGCCTCCCCCGACCCTGGGCCTCCCGCAGTTCCTGGAATAGACAGCACTGCTTTCTGCTACATTTAACTCCCAGACTCCAGTCCAGCGGGCTTTCTTGGTCGGGTTACTTTTTCTTGTCTGTGCGCAAACTCAACCAAACCTGCTCTCCTTGAATAATAACCTTTGATAGTCATGGTTCCTGTTCGCAGAGCTTTTCCCTGTTCACTGAATCTCTTGATCTTAGTAATTATGTGAGGTACGAGGGCGCCTGGGTGGCTCAGTCGATTGAGTGTCCGACTTGGTTCCGGCGCATGTCATGATCTCAGGTCATTAGATCAAGGCCCGAATCGGGCTCCACGCTCAGCATGGAGTCTGCTTAGGATTCCCTCTCCTCCTTCTCCCCACTTGCACACACGTGTACGCTCGCTCGCTCTCTCTCTCACTCTGAAATAAAATAGAGAAATAAACTCTTTTAAAAAATACGACAAAAAAAGATGACAGCAGGTATCATCCCTGTTTATAAGTGAAGAATGACTGAGACCCTGAGTAGTAGATAATAAAGCCAGTATTTGAATCTGGATCTCTAACTTTGTTCTAAGCACAGATTCCCTATTCTCTACGCTGCCTTATGTACCAATTAATGACACCCTTGGTACCAGCTATTTAAGTAAGTTGCTTACAGGGGTGCCTGGCTGGCTCAGTCTGTAGAGCATACGACTTTTGATCTCAGGGTTGTGTTTGAGCCCCACGTTGGGCATATAGCTTACTTAAAAAAATAATAATAAAAAGAAATAAGTTGCTTACAAAGCTGTGGTAACTGTGTTAGCTGTACACGTAGGGAAGATGTTACAGAAGAAAGAAGGCTTCCATCATGCCTGTGTGGGACTGAGATAAAGTGTTGAGAAAACTTGGTCTTTTTTTTTGAGGGCTGGGCTTAAGTCTGATACATGAGGTGGGTGGTGCTAGATTCCAAGAATATAGCCTCTTTTTTATCCAGTATACTCATATCATCCTAAGCAGTGTAAATGTCCCATTCCATACTCCTGAATCAAGCCAAGCTACCTTCTGTCTCTGCTAGGAAAAAAGAAACCACCCTGAGACTTGGTACTGACTTGGAGCAAAGGAAATCCATCAGTTAGCAAGCCACACTACCACTCTCTCTTACCTGACCTTCAAGGAGGGAAGCCCACCAGCATGGAGGAAGCCCAGGAGCAGACCTGTACTATCTGACTGAACTAAAACCCAGCAGCTTTTGACTGGCATTACTCAGCTGCGCCCGCTCAGTCAGAATAAAACCTATGCTGACGACACTGAGTCTTCTGCACGTCTGCTCTGGGGAAGGCACAGGGCTAGGAGTGTCAGCTGATTTTGACCAGTCAGACACTGAAGTACAGTGGCTGATCTGGGCAGTTTCTTTTCTTTTCTTTTCTTTCTTTTTTTTTTAAGATTTTATTTATTTTTTGACAGAGACAGCGAGAGAGGGAACACATGCAGGCTTCCCGCGGGGTAGGGAGCCCGACGTGGGGCTCGATCCCAGGATCCTGGGATCATGACCTGAGCCGAAGGCAGACGCTTAACGACTGAGCCACCCAGGCGCCCCTGATCTGGGCAGTTTCTAATGGAATTCTGGTGTCTTGAGGGACTATCCGTGATCCCAGATTTTTTGGTATTTTCTTATCCAGGAGAATGTAGCAAGGGTCAGAAAATGGCCCCACTTGATGGAGGCTGAAGCCCATTGAGAGTCAGTGGCTAATAAGAAGCAGCAGAACTCAGACTCTGCTCTCGGGGCTTTGATTCTGCTCATCAGCTAGTGCTTCCTAGTGAAGGTTTCTGGGCCTCTGAGCCTCCCTCTCCTTCCTGGCCTCAACTGTCACTGTCACATTCATCCTTTTAAGACCTTGTCCAAATCCGTCATCTTACAAACATTTCATTTATGGACAGAGCATCCGTTCTATGTGTGGTTAATAAAGCAGACCTCAAACGTTGTGGGAGTGCCTACAACATTGCGGCATTGTGCCCCTAAGAGCACAACTCTTTCTGTACTCTTGTGCTCAGTTCTACCTTGGTGCGCGTGGGACCAAATCTCCCTGCGCCTTGTGGACCTGAGCTCTCTTTTCCTGCCTCTGAGAGCAGCATTTTCTAAGCAGTTGCTGCCAGGCTAACCAGCAATGCCACCAAATGAAGGCAGCTGTGCCCTCTTCCTTCTAACCCACTCCTTGAGCCACTTCCCTTTCAGTTGATGCCCAGTGACGTGACTGAATGGGGTCTCCTTGGGCCAAGGCAGCTGAGGCCACAAGCTGGGCATTCAGTCAGCTTAGTCCTTGCTCTGTCCTGGCTGCCTCCTGCAAGGGGAGGAAATAGGGCGGGAGTTCGCTAGCTGAGCCTGGGCTCCCCGCCAAGCCCCTTCCTTCTGCTTGGGCAGTCTGGGGGCTTACTCATTCAGCAAGCCTTTATTAAGCACCTTCTGTGTATACTTAGGAAAGACCCTACCTCAGAGAGGGGGGAGAACAGAGCTGAGACCTTTTGCAGGAGCTTGGCATCCTTAAAGAGCTCTCGTTCTCAGAACCTTTTCCTTTTTGACTGGAAGTCCGACATCCGCTGGAGCCCCCCCCCCCCCCATGGGTGGCCGCTGGGGATGCGAACAAAGAGACCGTTAACGTTAATGAGGCACATTGAGTGAGTGGGCATTTCCGCAGTCTCCAAAGGAAGGCAGGTTTTTCTCTTTCATTTTGGAAAGTGACAGCTGACAAGGGCCGAATACAGACTATTTTTGGCTCTCAGGACTTAAAGATTCTCTGAATCCTTTCTTCTCAGCTCCCTCTGTGCTGTCCTGCCCCACCGGGAAATAAATAAAGCCTTTTGATCTTCACCCAGTCAGTCAGGCAGAGAGTGAGCTGTAAACAAAAGTGAACTTGTGACATAAGGCTAGGGGAGAGATGTTGGCAACTTACTGCTCTGCTCCTGCAGGGGGAAAAAAAAAAGCATCCTGTTTGCTGTGCCAGGATGCCCACCCAGGGGGTATGGTGCCCCAGCTGCCAAGGCACAAGAGAAAGCTGCTGCCTCCCTGGCCACCGCAGACTGAAGAGGCGTCACTGCGGGCACCCTCTTCACCCCGGTGTCACGGGAAAGGGACTGAGTGGCCACAGAGGGCCCTGACAAGCAGCTCCATGTAGAACCTTCACCCCCAAGGCCAGCATAGGCTGGTAGGAACTTGGAGAGAGTTCCGTGTAGGGGAACAACTGTCAGTTACCTTTGTGAGAATTGGCCAGGTTCTTGATTTCCAAGATCCGGGACCTTGAAAGTTGCTCTGCTCTTCTGATCTTTGGTGGCCTCGTTTATAAATGAGAATCCTGATCGTAGCTGCCTTCTAAAGCAGGAGTGATGATTCATTGAGATAGCCTGTCACTTAGCACAAGGCCTGACCAGTTGTAAGTATTGACTAAACATTAGTGGTGCTTGTTACTGTTGGGGTTCAGGGAGACTGGGTCTGAGATGAAGACCAGGATGACTTCCTTATCCCCCGCTCTACCCTACACCCTCAAAAGGGGAGTCTAGAAGGGCTGGTTGGCTTGGCACTGATGAGCTCCCTCTCCTTCTTTGCTCTCCTTACCCTTCTCTCTCTCTAGGGGACACTCCACAGAAAATGAGAGCTGCTCACTATCCTACCCCAGCCGAATTGGACGCGTATGCTAAGAAGGTCGCAAACAACCCACTGACTATAAAAATCTTCCCCAACAGTGTGAAGGTTCCCCAGCGGAAACACGTTCGTCGTACTGTGAACGGCCTCGACACGTCAGCTCAGCGCTACAGCCCCTACCCGACTCAGGCTGCCACCAAGGCAGGCCTGCTTGCCATTGTCAAAGTGCCAGCCAAAAGCATACTCAAGGACTTTGACGGCACCCGAGCCCGACTGCTCCCTGAGGCCACCATGAATCCCCCAGTGGCGCCCTGTGCTACTGTGGCACCCAGCACTTTAGCCCAGGCCCAGGCCCAGGCTCTGGCCCGCCAGCAGGCCCTGCAGCATGCACAGACCCTGGCCCATGCCCCTCCCCAGACGCTGCCGCACCCTCAGGGTATCCCGCCACCCCAGGCCCTGGCCCACCCTCAGAGCCTCCAGCAGCCTCAGGGCCTGGGCCACCCTCAGCCCATGGCCCAAACCCAGGGCCTGGTCCACCCTCCGGCCCTATCTCACCAGGGTCTCCAGCACCCCCCCAATCCCTTGCTGCATGGAGGTCGGAAGATGCCAGACTCAGATGCCCCCCCGAATGTGACCGTGTCTACCTCAACTATCCCCCTTTCGATGGCGGCCACCCTGCAGCACAGCCAGCCCCCGGACCTGAGCAGCATCGTGCACCAGATCAACCAGTTTTGCCAGACGAGGGCAGGCATCAGCACTACCTCAGTGTGTGAGGGCCAGATCGCCAACCCCAGCCCCATTAGTCGCAGTCTGCTCATCAATGCAAGCACCCGGGTGTCGACCCACAGCGTCCCTACGCCAATGCCTTCATGTGTGGTCAATCCCATGGAGCACACCCATGCGGCCACAGCCGCGTTGCCTGCCGCAGGCCCTGTCAACCTGCCCACGGGCATCTCTCGAGCCCCCACTGGCTACCCTAGCGACCTCAAGCCAGTCGCCTGGAACCAGCACCAGCTGGCCCACCTACAGCAGATGTGCAGTGAGGCTGGTGGGACGCCAGCCCCTGGCCTGACAGGCAAGCATGCAGCAGGACGTGAGTTGGCAGGGCCTGGCTTCGTGGGCAAGGCCCCTGCCTACCCGCAGGAACTCTGCCTGGCACAGTCCTTCCATCTGAAGCCACCCCTGGAGAAGCCAACCCCATCCCCACCCGTCAACGGCCTGGCAGCCCCACTGGCCTACCCCAATGGTCACTACTTCCAACCCCTGTGGAACAACATTCTGCCCACCCCCAATAGCGACAGCTCGGGGTCTCAGGACCTCGCCATGCCGTTCCATGGTGGGCAGCCCACGGGTGCACCCCTCGACTGTGGGACGGCTGCTGGGGCCCACTACCGAGCAGGGACCGGGGGCGGTCCAGTGGCAAGCCAGAACAGCTTGATGCAAACGGTGGATTACCTAAGCGGGGATTTCCAGCAGGCCTGCTTTCGAGAACAGAGCCTGGCCATGCTGAGCAAGGCCCACCGAGCCCCTGGCAGTCGAGCCCCTGAGCCCGCAGATAGTCGAAATCTTCATATTCAGCACCCTGGGTATAGATAGGGAGCCCTGGTGCCCTCCACAAGCTACAGATCGTACGTCACCCTCCTAGGTTTAGACTTACTTTTGAGTAATTGGATAGTTTCAAAATTTCACCGCTCCAATGTGATCATTCTTATATGTCTAAGAAAGGGAATTTGGTGGGATCTAATTGGGGACAGCAGGGGATCCCCTGTGCCCTCATCTTCCCCTCCACCATCCCCAGCAACTTCTGGGTTTATGTGAGGACCTAACCTCAACTCCAGGCTATTCTCTCTGCTGCCTCTCAGTCCCTTCACCTTGGCCATTTCCCACCAACCACCTCCCGTCTTTTCTTGCACCTCTGCCTGTTTTCCTTAGGACTGAGGTGTGGGGAAGGGAAGGGCCCTGGGGAAGGTGGCTGTGGTGCCCGGCCCCTCTCCCTGTCTGTCTCTGTCTCTTTGGGACTAAGAAGCCAGACTTCCTAAGTGCTCTGGAAGCTAATTCCTTACTCACCCAAAGATCTCAAAGCATAACAGACCCAGTCTTCACCTCCTCCCACCCCTCTCCATTCCTCAGGGCTTTGTGGTACACCTACGTTGATTCTGGGAGCCACTGCACTTGTCCTTGCTACCCTCCTCAAGGGCACCCTGCAGGCACTTGGCCATAGCCTAAAGGCATGGGGAGATCTTTGTATTGGCATCTTATTAGTTCCTGACTGCCCCCTCTTCCAGCCCTGGAGAAAGGTAGTAAGGTAGTGACCATTGAGCATACCCAAGATCCCTTTCTCACTGTTGTCTCTCCTAACTTACCTGCTGCTCCCATCCCTCGTGCCCTGCCAGAAACCAAGCAAAACAAAACAGGATCTTGAGGAACTAACTAGGTAAAGGATGATCACATTGGAGTTCGGAATTAAAAACACCAAAAAAAAGAAAAAAGAAAAAAGAAAAAAAAAAAGTTAAAATGCATTTGGTTCTCTCTACACTGGCTAAGAATATTGCTCTACACTGTAAGTTTTAAATGTCCTGTTTCTGTATGAATGTAGTGTGGGTTTGAGTAGCATTGTGTGAGCGGCCCCACAGGTACATTCACCTTCTCGTCACCTCCTCTTGCAGCCCCTCAGTTTAATGAAGAAAGAAAGAAAAAAAAAAAACAAAACACAAAGCCTTAAGCTCTTTGAATTCTTCCTTTACCAAATGAGCATGGTTCTAACAGCTGGAGGCGGACCTCCGTGGGAAACGGCCCCTCCTGCCCTTGCCCGCCGCCCTTCACACGCTCATCCTTCACCCCATGCTCAGTGTGTCTCATTCCCAAGTGGCAAATAGTTGGCTAGAAATTTAAAACTTTTCTGTAACTTTAAATTTAGATCATGTTTTGTAATTTTTTGCACCCTTCTGTTAAAGATACATAGTTGGGCTCTGACTTTTTTTTTTTTAAACCAAATTAAGCCCTTACCTTTCGTCTTGTCTCTGGGGAATGTGAGCTGATGTTCTTATTTAAGATTTGGGGTTTTGTTTACTATCCACTGTTCTTTAGCCAGAAATTCTCTAGTGATCTGAAGCAATGTGACTGAAGACCAGTTTTTAAATTATGTGTTGGCAAGTTGCCTTATATTTAAAAAGAGAAAAAAAAAAAAAGAAAAAATGCCTGATTGTGTTATGCCAAATGATAGCAACATGAAGTCCTAATTTATTGTTCCTGATTTCCCTGCTGTCTGTGAACACTGGTACCTCCCTGTCCCTGAGCCCTCGGGGGTACCTGCAGCTTCTGGGCAGGTCCGCCCCCCAAGGCATTGACCACCGTCTCACCCAGGGCCCCCTTCCTGTTCTCGCTTCTTGGAGTTATATTTTAAGAGCACCACTGTCTCCCCTTATCCCTTGTTTGATCTCCAAACCAGATATTTTTGCCGCAATTTTTTCCAATGCCTCTCCCTGAAAGGTGAGCTGCCATCTTAGGAAATTGACCAGACACCAACTTGGGGGCTTTAAATCAAACCTCAAACCCTCAAATCTCTTCCTGTGTAGGGGTGCAAATCTCTGAAGCTCTCACTCCCACCCCTAGTCTGCATGGAAAATGTACTGTGACCCCCCCCCCAACTGCCCTTGCCTTTGGTGTGAGATGTTTCCTAGTTCACCCTGAGCCCCTCTCCCCCTCTGCCAGCCAACCCCCAACCAGCAATAAGGGTCCAAGCCAGGGCCTCGTATCCACACTCCCTGCCTCCACCCCACACTGCCCCTAGGGAATACCGGATTCCGTACGCTGTCCACATACTGTAGCATTCATTCTCCAGCTCCCTCATCTTCTCACCTGTGGTGGTTTATGGGTGTGATGGGGTTTTTAAGATTATTATAAACCAGTAAAAAGAAAAAACTCACCTTCTGATCTTGTCCTATTCGTTGAATGCTGTGAATGTTTGAGGTGATTTTTCTTGTAGTGGTTTCTAACATGTCTCATTTCCAAAAGGGAAGCCAGTCCTCATTTTTAAGAGGGGAGCCGTAGAGTGGCGCACTCGGAAGCCCTCCCGGCCCGTTAGCCCAGAGCAGGCGCTGTGCTGGTTGGAAAGCACGGGGTGGTGGACCGCAGCCAGAGCCCCGGGCCTCTCGCTGGGCAGGGGTTTGCTGCCCTGCCTGCCAGCTCAGTGCTGCCATTTGCACTCCAAGGACCATTGAAAGGGGGGATCTGGTGTGCTGATGAGCCAACTGAAGACTAAATGCCCCTCCCTCCCCTTCTTCCACTTCCAGCACTTTTTTTGTTTTGAAGCTTGTATTTATTTGACAGGGAGAAGCAGGGAGCCTGATGCGGGGACTCGATCCCAGGAGTCTGGGATCATGACCTGACCGAAGGCAGACGCTTAACGAATGAGCCACCCAGGCGTCCCCTGCCCCCCCCAGCACTTTGGAAGTTTTGAGGGCCTCTGGCTGGTGCGGTCATCTGTAACATGTGAAGCGGCTCCTCAGAGTACTGATGGAGTCGTGAAAGTCCGGTCCCTTTCTGAGCATGCCAGTCTCTGGGGTGCCCTTCAGAGAAGGCGCTTCGCCTCCTTTACCCCATGCCATCCCTGGGAAAGCAAGCCGCCTCCTGCCTGCGTCACATACCTGCGGTCAGCCAAGCTCACACGGCTGCAGAGTAGACCCTGAGGCGAGCCCAGCTCTTGTCTGGCCTCTCCGGGCAGGTGCTTGTGGAATCCAGCTCACATTCTGATGCAAAACCTGGCCTGAGTTTACAGCGGGAGGGGCTCTGGGGCCGGCCGCGACACCCACTGTTGCACACAACTCTAGGTGGCACCCTCCGACCTTCCCTGTGAATGCGCCCCCTGGAGTGGTGCGTGGCGGTCCTGCCAGCAGAGGGAGCCCAAGGGCGGACTGATGCTGGACGCGTGGCCCCACCTCTTGCCTGACGCGGGAGCTGGGGAGCAGGCGTTTGCTAGAGCCCGTGCTTTTCCCTACCAGCTTCTGGACATCACTGTACCGAGATGGTTTATCTGGGGAAGAGGCGCGCTCTGCTTTCTCAGTAAGGCAGCCAGGGCCCCATCTCCTCCTTGGTCAGTGAATTTGACCTTTTGAAGGGTAAGCTGGTGGTTAGTTTCCCAGGCTGGCATTTCTGACCGTCCTATCCTGTCACCTAACAAGGGCTCTTTTCACCTCAGCCTGTATGTGGGAGAGTGAAGGCAAAAACTCCAGCCCTATTAGGTAATAGTTGCCACCCCGCGGTCCTCTTCCCGGGGCCAAGCAAGAAGAGTAAGGGACTTGATGCTGATTAATTGTAAAGTTTACAAGTCTAGGGGAACAGGAGTACTCGCATTTTACCAATAAGACCAACACCCCACGTAGCTGAGCAACTTGCCAAAAAGCAAGCACAGCAAGGATCTAAACCCAACTCTACCGCCAAAGTTAACGGGAGCTATTCTGCCAGGGATTGCTGGAGCTTCAAACAGAATCCAGGCCTTGTCCCAAACCAGCTGAAAGGTCACTGAGAAGTCAGTTCTCGCCTCTTCCTATTTCATCGGCCAAATGTGGATAATCACAGGCACTCACTGAGGCCTGTATGGAAAATAAACAAATACAGATGAGAGAATCCCGGTGCCTTGTACACCTCAAAAGCCCCTTGGCTTAGTCGCTGGGTATGGGCTGGGCACAAGCCTTACGAAGTCTTCACCACAGCCGGCTGAGATAGGTTCTTTTAGGATGGTGGTCAAAGCGACTTCATTTGCCCGTTGTATTAAACGAAGTCATGCCTGTACAAAGCGCTTGGCAGTGTCTGCCACGTGGTAGCTGTTACCATTAGACCAGGAAAGACCCACCTCGGGCGGAAATACCGGTCTTCGGTCGAGTATGGATGCATCAGGGACTCCAGGCTTGTAAGATGTTCAGAGCCCGCACCTCCCCCATTTAGCCACCAGGGGGCAGCAGCAGGCAACTGCGTCCTGCACAAAGCCTGGTGCAGCTCCTCTGTCGTCCACCGGAGGGCGACCCAGCAGGGCAGAGTGGCAAGCAGCAGCCCGCCTTTGGCCCTGGGCCTTCACAGTTAGACCCAGCCTTCCGGGGCCCTAACCATCCCAGATAAGTCAGGCTGGAACCAAGTTAATAAATACAATTCAGGATTTATTAAAAACCAGGGCTTCCCTGCTGTGCCCTCCTGGCACCAAGTAAATAAATAACCGGAGGGGGCACAGCCAAGGAAAGGGGAAGAGAAATCAGATCTCAAGACAGATTCTTTTAACTACCCCTCACTTTCCCAACTCCCCCCCCCCCCCCCCCCCAACTATGGCTCTTGGGACGTAGCACCAGCAGGCACCTCAGTCCCGGGAAGAGTGTGGCCGGCACCAAGGCATGTCTTTCTTCCCTGCCCAGGAGAGGAGACAGACCCTGGGATCACTTGTTTCCAAGCCCTTGATGACCCCAAGACCTGCTCCCACCCCAGCGGCCAGGGCTGAAGCACCAATAGGAGGCACCTGAGGGTGGTAGGGAAGGTGGGAGGGGGAACAGGGGGACAGAACCTAGGCAGAAGAGGCTGAAAGGGGGTCCGGCCCCCTCTCCGGGTTCAGCCAGTTCCTGACTGAGGTCCTATTCCACCCTCCCTTTCTCCGGAAGCCCCGTCTGCACTCAGCTGAGGATCTTTCGGGGCAATTCAACAGAGGCACGGATGAAGACGGCGTCATCCCGCACGTAGTTTCGCTTGCGGATATCCTGGTGGGAGATGAACTTGGGATAACCAAAGCCCAGAGAGCTCTCATCCAGGGAGCCCCGCCAAGTGCCCGGTTTTTGGAAATTCTTCCAGTTTGGGTCGGGGTGAAAGGTCTCAGTGACGTGCTGTGGCTTGGCCAGCCCGGGGTCGCTCTGATCCAGCAGGGAGAAGGTGACACGGCGGGCAAACGGCCACTCCAGGAGATTGTCAAAGGCACCCGGCAGCACGCGGATGTAGAGCGACAGGTGTGTGCCCTCGCCGCTGCCGTTGCCGTTGAGGAATGCGGACACCTGCAACTTGTAGCCATACTTGTGCGTGTAGAAGGCCGGGCTGAAGCACTCGAGGTTGGGCTTGGCTTTGGCTTCCTGGAGCCGCCGGCCGTAGCTGCCGATCTTCCAGATGAGCACGCCGTCGCTGCCCACCGACAGCTCCTCCAGCTCCCGCCGCAGCTCCTGCAGCTCCTGCCGCTGCCGGCTCACCAGGGCGCACATCATGGCCAGGTGGGGCTTCACGCTCTCCTCCACGTGCCGGGCCATCGCCAACTTAGGGCACTGTTGGCAGAGCCCCGGGCCGGGGGAGGAAGGGAGGGCGGTTCTCAGTAGGCGCAGGCCCAGGGCCGGGGCGGGGGCGGGGGCGGGGGCGGGGGCGGGGGCGGGGAGGGGAGGGGGCGGGGACAGGGCTGCGGGGCCCCAGCTCTGACCGGGCGGACAGAGGACACTTAGGAGGCGGCGGCGGCCGGCAGAGGGAAGGACCGAAGGCTTCAGAGCAGCCCGTCTGCACCTGACGCTTCAAGGACCCAGAAGGGGGCGGAGGGAAAGCGGAGGGCAGCTCACCCTGTGCTTGCAGCCGGAGTCTTTGAACGGACACAGCACCAGGGCGGTGCTGCAGCTCTCCTTCAGGTGGCCGGGCAGGTCCTCCCGAGCCACCGTGCCCACGCCACACTGGTTGGGGCAGGGCACGGGCAACCTCGGGCACTGGTACTGGTGGCTCTAGGGCCGCAGAGGCCGAGACAGCGGTCAGCAGCCTGACACCCCGCGCCCGCCCCGCCCCTGCCCCGCGCCCGCCCCCGGGGAGGGCCGCACCTGGATGGTGTCGAAGACGAACTCCTTGGTGCAGTAGGTGCACGGCTGGGTGCGCTTGGGGCACTCGGAGGTGGCGTGCTGGGCCAGCAGCCGCCGCATCATGCGGGCACCGCACTTGTTCTCACAGTACACGCTCTCCTGGGGGCACACGCCCTCGTGGCTCTGCGCAAATGCCCGAGGGGCCGAGCTAAGCGATCCCCGGGGCTCCCGGGTGCCCCGCTCTCCCGCGTCCCTCGGCCAGGCCTCCCCCCCGCCCCCCCTCACCTCAAAGGCCTCCCCACTGAAGTCGCAGCCGCAGAACTCGCACTTGAGGCGCCGCTTGGGGCAGTCGTGCTGCAGGTGGGCAGGCAGGTCCCGGCGGCTGAGCTTGGTGGGGCAGCGGTTGGGGCAGGGGATGACATTGAAGCTGCACGTGTTCAGGTGGCTCTGGTGGGAAAGGAAGCAGTGAGCGCCTGCCAAGAAAGGAGCCGCCCCCCTCGGGCCCCATCAGAGACTCACCTGCAGGTGGCGGAGCGGCCCACTCCAGCGGCAGCCCTCCTCACTGTGGATGCAGCGGATAGCCAGGCCCAGCACCTGGACCTCCAGCTCGGGGTCTGGGTAGATCTGGGTGGACGGGGAGGAACCGCGCAGGGTCAGAGCATGCTACTGTCCCCAGTTACCAACCCCCCCCCCCCCCCCGGGACAGGCTAGCTCTACCTTCGCATCAGTTAACAGACTCTCTGGAGCTATATTCCCCTCTGTGCCCTGGGATAAAAGGCACAGCAGGTGGTTATCTGCTCCACAGCTGGATACCAGGGTCCCCAACATGCCTGCACATGACACTCCCTTTGGAGTGGCAACCGATCAGCCTGCTCAGTTCCAGGCAGCCCGTACATCCTCTGCTTCCTTCCTCCTGGTAGAGGGGTCCTGGCCATCAGCCACGGGTCTGGCTTGCCACCCAAAGGGGAGGGGAGCACTGCTTTTGGGCACAGAGCAGCTCTGTGCACCCCCACAGGCTGGGCATTGTGCCTGCCCTCCAGGGCAAACACTGGCCGCATTTGCAAACGGGCCTGGTGGGAGGGAAGAGGCCCCCTCTGTGGGGGCACAGGATTCCACAGTACTGGGTTGA